GCCGCTTTATTGACAATTATGCAAAATACAGCGGAGTGTTAAAAAAACGTGCTGTATACAAAGATGAATGGTGTACTTACGTTGTTTTTATTAGCCGAGAGCAGTCAGGTTAAATGGTACAAATGTCTCCATCTCTAACCTGTAGCAAAGGAAAGTGAAAGACAAATTTGCAAACAAACAAGGCAGGCGGCCAAAAAACAGGATTACCGGAAGTTCTAGGGTTTACCCGATACTAGGTTTCATAACCTTTTGAGAGTGTTGTGTCTTTGATTTGCATTTATTCTGACTAAATGATTCTACATGTTTGAATGGACTGTTTTCAGAATTTCGGAGAAAGGTGACGGTATAAAAGAGTGAAACAAAAAGCGATGAAATACCAGGCCATATAGAACTACATTTATCAACGTCTGAGTCAACCAAAAATCAATTTAGATTCAATCAACTTTAACATTTACTCAGAAATCAATTTTTTATGAAGATGGGACATTACTATGTCAAAAAAACTTATCTAGGTTCTATAGTATGTTCCTAAAATACGTCAAATGCCGTACAATTTTAGGTTTGACAAAAAAAAATCCGACCTAGATCTAAGAAGTGACTCCAGTATAAAATACAAAAAGATAAACTCTTGGAATCCATTTAACGCTGTTTGAAGTATTGCTGCCGATCTTCAACCACGCCGATTTAAAGGTCATTAAACGCATTGAAAAATTGCAAGAAGAAAGTTAAGTGTATAGACCTTCGTAGCAGTTCTTTGGGTTGTTATGTGAAGGGCTCCTGTTATTGACCAAAATTCTCCTATTTCCGGCTGCTTAGAAGTTGTGTGTGTCTCTAATCTGTTTGCTTTCAAATAAAAGACTGGTAAAAACAGTCAAAGTTTCACAGACAAAAATGGGTTAATATGATTTGAAACTTGATGGTCGAGTTTGCCGAACTGATCGAGCGGCGTACAAGCCCTGTCAGATGAAAAGGGAATATTAGTCAGATCTCAAATATTGAGCATGAATTCAAAGCTTCTATAGAACGTTTTTGGGATAATTCTTTCTTCGGGTTGCTCTTTCTTCCAGAAATTCAGCATTAAAGACACGAGCTATAATGGTACAAAAGGCCTTTAAGATAACCCTGATCCAACCAAGCAATGGCAATCTGAGCTAGACTTCCATCTTCACTTAAAATTGCATTCCTTTCTCTGGGCCAGGATCAAACGATTTTAAAATTCATCATGACTTAATACAGATCTATACAGAAATGGGTACACGTTTCTATTAATGCTCAGAAATTGTGCTGTAAACTGTTAACTATCCCGGGCTTTCTGAGTACTCTTCGCTCCACCTAAAACAGGGGAAATTGAAAGTGAAATGTGCCAACAAAGCGCTATCAAGGTTCAGACGAAATTTATCCTGTTGATAGGCGTTTGGAGAAAGTATATTGACCTGATGCTACAGAATAACAAAACCCGGTGACGGGAGGTTAGGAAAACTTACTTGGGAGGTATCGACAGCACGATCCAAGATGAAAAACTAACGGTAGTTTGAACTGGTTTAGCCTGTTTCAGGCGTTTAGGTGTACATTCAGTTGGAATATAGTGGCGAGTGGCTCGAACTGAAGAGCACGCTGGGCACGTTTCGCGCGGAGGAACGTCTGCGACTCAGCGACAGAAATTCCATACTGATGACGCAGATCAATGTCTACTTAACTAGTAATAGTTGACACTACAGTATATTGTCTGTCAATAGCATTCTTGCTCTTTGTGTAGCTCTCTGAAATATACCGATTCATAAGGAAGATTTTCACACATATTCCATGCAATAGGTGCATGATAAATACAGGAAACGCAAGATTCCATGCACAGTTTCAGGTCGATTTACACAGCTTTGATCAAAACATTCTCAGTTTCGAGCATAGTTTATTCTAAACCATAAGAAAAGATTAAATTAGAAGTTGAATTTTTCGCTATTTCTCTTTCACTTTTTTCATTCAGTTCATTTTATTTGCCGGAAAGGAAGCCTTAAAAATTAAAAGGACGTTTGGTCAATTCACACTCGCGCATTCTAATCTTATTTTAAACTTTATAGCGGAAGGACATCTGTGAGCAGGGAATAAGGCAGCACAGAATGTGATTGTCAGCGAATTTCTGTAATCGTCCATCGTTCTGTAACTGAGAAGCTAGCCGTTGTTCACTCCTCTTGCTTGTTTGGGGCTGAGTCTTATTCTGGTCAAAGAGAGAGAAAGAGTGTCTGGCAAGGTTTTCAACGAAAGATTTGTGAACTCGTGTCTGGCAAACTCTCCAAGGTTTATATATACACAGTTATATACGCACCTCTGCGCTTAACGAGTGTCGTTAAAATTTTGGACCATAACTTTCACTGAAACAACTGCTCCAAAGAATGTCACTGATAAAACGTAACGCAAGCGGTTCCTTGGGGATGATCTGTCTTTACGTCATCCTAACGATTTCGTACTTGCGAGCGCAAACAATAAAAACTTCATCATTACCTACCGATTCCTCGCGGCCCCTGTTTAAGTAAATCGAGGTTTTTTTTCTATATTGACTGTATAACTGTATATTTCAACTGTAAGTACTTTCCTTAATATACGCGCGAGTTACTAGAGTGCCTCCTCGGGATTGCGCCTTCTGGGCGAAATCCCTGCGGGGGTAATAAATCCGGTATTCATGGGGTTCCAAATGTAAATTTATTCAGTTTTAGGTTTCTCCTGCTCGATTTTGGTAGTGTTTTGTTCATCTACGAACGAGCTCAAGCAAATCTCAAATGCTTGTTCTAGAGAAGACTATATTCCACAAATATTGCCTGTTTCGTTAGAGATTCATCGCGTTTACATTTGACTTTTGTGGCCTTTTGTCTGTCATTCTTAAACATTAGCTAAAACAAGGTAACTACTCCGTCGACCAATCAGGACTTCTGACCGGATTCTGGACATATTTTACGTCATCAGTATGGAATTTCTGTCGCTGAGTCACAGACGTTCCTCCGCACTAAACGTCCCCAGCGGCGAAGAGCGTGGAGGAACCGTAAATGGACCCGTAAATGGACAACCAGCGTGGGAGAAAGGCAACCGCAAGCTTCCCTGCGGCCGGAAGGGCGTGTATGACCGCATGACAGACGCTAAGATAAAGAGAGTTATTCAGCCACGCTCCAGGAATGCGTGATTAGCATTTAGCTTTACAACGTAGAAGGCTAGCCAATAGCGAGACAACGAGTCTTTTCGAGAGTATTACAATTTGCTTTGCATTTGTAATGGTATTGTAATAAAGATAGCGAATCCAAGCGTGTGCAAGGTGTGCCGGTTGCAGTGAACCTCTCAACGAGCACCAACGGGGAATCGCAAGTAAATTTTGCGAGGGCAAATTCAAAAGTTCCCCAGCTAAGCCCCACGATCACTCGTCGATCCAGCAACCTTTGGAGACAGAAGAAATAGAGGCATTGGAAGGCGAACTGGCCGCTTTGTGCCTGGAGGAGGAGCGCTTAGCGCAGGAACGAAGAAAGATGGCCTTACGCAAACAAATCGAGGAGAAACGGGTCAGAATCGCATCAGCCACGTGCTCCGTTGCTCCATCAAAGATCTCAGACAACTTCCCCTCCAGGACATGCGAACACCGCTCGATGGCCTCCTAGACCCGCTAAATTCTACGCAGCCAGCCGAAGCCTAAGCTTCTTGGCACGCCTTTCGCCCTTCACCTACCCTGCCCGGTGATGTGTCGTCCTTGGTTCCCCCTGCTGGTCTCTCCAACGCTGCCATGGAATCAAGAGCCTCGAAGATGTACTTACGACCCGCGCAGCTGCCGAAGGGTGAGAAAGTTCTCCGAATAATAGACTTTGTAGACAATATCATTCCCCGGGAAGACGAGCGAACAATTTCAGATGGGGGACATACAAAATTAATTGTGTCGTACGGCCCAAAGAAACCTAAGCTAGAACAGGTCACGTTCTCTCAGTGGGTGATAGCTAATACTCGATTTTTTTATAACTTTTAAATGATAAGTAGGAAGTTGAATTCGCTAGAGGACATCATAAATTATCCTGCTTACACAGTTAAAGTCATGGAATTATCTAATCGCTTTCAACGGCCTTCTGTCCTTAAGTATGATGATGAGTTTCGCTTATTGCAGACCACCTATGGCTATCCTTGGAGTTTCGATTGCAACCATTTACACACAGTTACCCTGCTAGCAGAGTCGCTTCGATATTTCCTAGATAAGTCGGGAAAGAGGAAGCGACTCTGCCGACACCTTCAAGTTCCTTTATCCAGCTTTTTGGATGAGTCAGACAAGTTTTATACTGGATAAACCAGTTTTATCTGTGCACGCACGCATATTCTGGAATTTTGCTGACTCTTTCTGCCCCCACGCTCAATAAAAAAAACAAATAGCTGCCGCTTCAAAAATTTCATGCGGGAATTTTGAGAAAATTATACATTGAACGTTCAGTTTTAGAAAATTGGAAAATATACCCAGATTCGAGATGGATTTTGTTTGGGATTTAACCATGTACTTAGCCGATTTTATTGCGTGAACGGATTCACAATCCAGTATTGTGTTACGCGAAGTTTTTGGAAGGATAAACAAATATATTAGAAACAATATCTATGCTTATTCTTCTGTGTTTGCGATAACATTAATTCAAAATAAGATCATGAGGCTACAGAATCCATGTAACTTGTTGCATTTAAATGATCGATGCTTTTACAGCTGTTTGTGGATAAGAACACCAGACTTGCGATACCAAAAACGTCTTTGGATTTTGCGTTTTCCTAGGACGTCAATCAAAATGTGAAGAAGCGGCGCTTTCTTCCCTCTCTCGCATTTTATACATGTTAGCGAACCTCTTAGGAAACAAAAGGTTGTCGTTCGTGATTTGTGATAGGTGGATTTCGATCCGTTTTGTGTGTTTCTGTGTTTCAAGGTTAGATGCTTTGTTTTTGAAAAGCACCGTAAGTTTTACCTTAGCTCTAAGATTTTTTTATCTTCTTTACACTGAAACATGGCAAGTTTAGATTCCAAAGGTGAAATTGTTCCTATACTAGAGCTTCCAAATCCAGAGGAAACACAGCTACGGAAGGGTGAAAACGAACCGGTACGTTGCCGCTGACATTTACATTTGCTGACAAACACAGTGGATGCTACGGTAACGGTTTGATTGACGTCGCAGAAAAATTTGAATTTGGAGCATGTTCAGTATGAATTGTTGAGGATGTCGGCAGAGGTTCCTTCCGCTTCCCGACTTATCTAGGAAGATCGAAGGAGACTCTGTTCGCAGGGTAACACACAGTTCTCCTACAGCCCATTCCCAAAACCCCTACCCCTACCCGCTCGACAAGTCGAGTCCCTGGCCCAAGCACTCAGTTCGCTGTGACAACTAGCGAGGGGCGTACCATTTGCCGTAGCTACAACTTCCCTCGGGCTTGCTCCTTTCCCAACTGCGTTTACGAACACGCTTGTAACCGACGCGTTCAGGGGGGTAGGGCGTGCGGCCAAAGCCACCCAGGTCGTAGCCATGCTAATTCTCTCAATACCCCACTGCCGGGAACGAGGGCCACCCCCCAGTGACTACCCCTGACAAATTCGCCCCTTAATCAGAGTCACGACTTTCATAATGGCCGACGGCGCGCGGGACTGGTAACTATTTTTGCATCAAAACGAGGCCAGAAAGGCCACGCTTGCTTGAGTTGCAAACAAAACAAAGGTCAAAACATTTCGATTGCTTTATTCCCGGCTTTATTCTCGAACAATATATCAGTTCAATTGGGGCCAATTACTGCTACAAATAGCGTATTTAATCCAGAGGAATATGCCAACTCACTGCTGTGTTCCAGAATGTAAAAAGAAAGGCTACCGCGATGAGAATGGAGTGAAAGTTTCGTTCTTTAAATTTCCGACCGAGAACCCTGAAAAGAAGAAGTGGCTGCACGCGATACGAAGAGAAGAAGGAAAATTTTTCAAGGTAACTAAGTATAGCAATAAAAGGGGGTGGTAGGCCTACACGACTTTTACCTCATGCCAAAATGCTGCTTATTCCAATGAAGTTGTTTTTATCTGCTGGGTAGATTATGCTCTGGAAGGTTCTGCATTTTACTGAGCAAATGTGGTTTTAGCCGCATGTTTCACACTGAGAGGTCATGACATATATATCGATTGACTGTAGTTATTGTTTTCTGGTCGGCAGGATTTGCCCTGTGATGCAAGCGCATATTCTTTGACCTTTGAGCTTTTTGAAGCGGAAAGCTTTTTTTTTATTACGGCTGAATAAGGGTTCCAATTTTCTCCAAAGTGCCTTCTGGATCTGATCTAAGCGATTTTCTTTAGTCCGTGAGTGTAATGTTTTTCTGCAATGCTGTATCACGCTGGGCCCAGCTCGTCAGTTTTCTTTGCAGAATGTTAAATTATCACGGATAGTGACTTACAGATCCAAAATTATAAGAGTGAAATGCAGCTTAAACTGAAGCTACATAAACTTACTATGGAGAATTGAATTGTGACTCAGTAAACTCCAGCTTAGTGTTTTTCTAAAGATAGTGTGAGGCTTTTGACTGGAGCGCGTAGTTCCTCCCTTGGTAATAGCTTTGAATAAGCTTAACAGTCTTTAAACTGTTTTGTTATTGCCACAGTTTGTGATCAGGCAAGACCATGGTTTCGGTTCTCCTCACGAACCTCATCAGTTGCCGGGTTGGCTTTGTGCTTAGTTGCTTTTAGAAGAGCAACTTTAGTTGTACTTTGTCGTGGCGAGAACGGTACAGCCGTTCTGTCTGTTGAGCTTTGAACTGAACATAAATACCCACGTGGCGGATCGAAATTCTTGTTTTCTTATTGGCTACTGAACGTAACCAATTGCGCACTGTGTATTTCGATCCTCTTCTGCTTCAAGCTAGAGGTGTGTTTTTTTGGAAAGCATTTCGTGAAAATTTAGGCACTTTCTTTCGTGGAAGAGTTCGAAGACTCTTGTAAATAGATGCGCACAGAGTTTCCGTACACTCCCTCTAAAAACTGGAGTGGATACGTTTCTTGTTAGTTGCGCAATGTTGAACTTTCTACTCTGTGCTTGGTTCTTATTAGTGCCAGTGTTGATCTTCATAAGGTAAAACGGGGCCTACCCGTAAACAAATCATAGCAATAAAAGGGGGTGGTAGGCCTACACGACTTTTACCTCATGCCAAAATGCTGCTTATTCCAATGAAGTTGTTTTTATCTGCTGGGTAGATTATGCTCTGGAAGGTTCTGCATTTTACTGAGCAAATGTGGTTTTAGCCGCATGTTTCACACTGAGAGGTCATGACATATATATCGATTGACTGTAGTTATTGTTTTCTGGTCGGCAGGATTTGCCCTGTGATGCAAGCGCATATTCTTTGACCTCTTTTGAAGCGGAAAGCTTTTTTTTTATTACGGCTGAATAAGGGTTCCAATTTTCTCCAAAGTGCCTTCTGGATCTGATCTAAGCGATTTTCTTTAGTCCGTGAGTGTAATGTTTTTCTGCAATGCTGTATCACGCTGGGCCCAGCTCGTCAGTTTTCTTTGCAGAATGTTAAATTATCACGGATAGTGACTTACAGATCCAAAATTATAAGAGTGAAATGCAGCTTAAACTGAAGCTACATAAACTTACTATGGAGAATTGAATTGTGACTCAGTAAACTCCAGCTTAGTGTTTTTCTAAAGATAGTGTGAGGCTTTTGACTGGAGCGCGTAGTTCCTCCCTTGGTAATAGCTTTGAATAAGCTTAACAGTCTTTAAACTGTTTTGTTATTGCCACAGTTTGTGATCAGGCAAGACCATGGTTTCGGTTCTCCTCACGAACCTCATCAGTTGCCGGGTTGGCTTTGTGCTTAGTTGCTTTTAGAAGAGCAACTTTAGTTGTACTTTGTCGTGGCGAGAACGGTACAGCCGTTCTGTCTGTTGAGCTTTGAACTGAACATAAATACCCACGTGGCGGATCGAAATTCTTGTTTTCTTATTGGCTACTGAACGTAACCAATTGCGCACTGTGTATTTCGATCCTCTTCTGCTTCAAGCTAGAGGTGTGTTTTTTTGGAAAGCATTTCGTGAAAATTTAGGCACTTTCTTTCGTGGAAGAGTTCGAAGACTCTTGTAAATAGATGCGCACAGAGTTTCCGTACAACTCCCTCTAAAAACTGGAGTGGATACGTTTCTTGTTAGTTGCGCAATGTTGAACTTTCTACTCTGTGCTTGGTTCTTATTAGTGCCAGTGTTGATCTTCATAAGGTAAAACGGGGCCTACCCGTAAACAAATCATAGCAATAAAAGGGGGTGGTAGGCCTACACGACTTTTACCTCATGCCAAAATGCTGCTTATTCCAATGAAGTTGTTTTTATCTGCTGGGTAGATTATGCTCTGGAAGGTTCTGCATTTTACTGAGCAAATGTGGTTTTAGCCGCATGTTTCACACTGAGAGGTCATGACAGATATATCGATTGACTGTAGTTATTGTTTTCTGGTCGGCAGGATTTGCCCTGTGATGCAAGCGCATATTCTTTGACCTCTTTTGAAGCGGAAAGTTTTTTTTTATTACGGCTGAATAAGGGTTCCAATTTTCTCCAAAGTGCCTTCTGGATCTGATCTAAGCGATTTTCTTTAGTCCGTGAGTGTAATGTTTTTCTGCAATGCTGTATCACGCTGGGCCCAGCTCGACTTCAGTTTTCTTTGCAGAATGTTAAATTATCACGGATAGTGACTTACAGATCCAAAATTATAAGAGTGAAATGCAGCTTAAACTGAAGCTACATAAACTTACTATGGAGAATTGAATTGTGACTCAGTAAACTCCAGCTTAGTGTTTTTCTAAAGATAGTGTGAGGCTTTTGACTGGAGCGCGTAGTTCCTCCCTTGGTAATAGCTTTGAATAAGCTTAACAGTCTTTAAACTGTTTTGTTATTGCCACAGTTTGTGATCAGGCAAGACCATGGTTTCGGTTCTCCTCACGAACCTCATCAGTTGCCGGGTTGGCTTTGTGCTTAGTTGCTTTTAGAAGAGCAACTTTAGTTGTACTTTGTCGTGGCGAGAACGGTACAGCCGTTCTGTCTGTTGAGCTTTGAACTGAACATAAATACCCACGTGGCGGATCGAAATTTTGTTTTCTTATTGGCTACTGAACGTAACCAATTGCGCACTGTGTATTTCGATCCTCTTCTGCTTCAAGCTAGAGGTGTGTTTTTTGGAAAGCATTTCGTGAAAATTTAGGCACTTTCTTTCGTGGAAGAGTTCGAAGACTCTTGTAAATAGATGCGCACAGAGTTTCCGTACACTCCCTCTAAAAACTGGAGTGGATACGTTTCTTGTTAGTTGCGCAATGTTGAACTTTCTACTCTGTGCTTGGTTCTTATTAGTGCCAGTGTTGATCTTCATAAGGTAAAACGGGGCCTACCCGTAAACAAATCATAGCAATAAAAGGGGTGGTAGGCCTACACGACTTTTTACCTCATGCCAAAATGCTGCTTATTCCAATGAAGTTGTTTTTATCTGTTGGGTAGATTATGCTCTGGAAGGTTCTGCATTTTACTGAGCAAATGTGGTTTTAGCCGCATGTTTCACACTGAGAGGTCATGACATATATATCGATTGACTGTAGTTATTGTTTTCTGGTCGGCAGGATTTGCCCTGTGATGCAAGCGCATATTCTTTGACCTCTTTTGAAGCGGAAAGCTTTTTTTTATTACGGCTGAATAAGGGTTCCAATTTTCTCCAAAGTGCCTTCTGGATCTGATCTAAGCGATTTTCTTTAGTCCGTGAGTGTAATGTTTTTCTGCAATGCTGTATCACGCTGGGCCCAGCTCGTCAGTTTTCTTTGCAGAATGTTAAATTATCACGGATAGTGACTTACAGATCCAAAATTATAAGAGTGAAATGCAGCTTAAACTGAAGCTACATAAACTTACTATGGAGAATTGAATTGTGACTCAGTAAACTCCAGCTTAGTGTTTTTCTAAAGATAGTGTGAGGCTTTTGACTGGAGCGCGTAGTTCCTCCCTTGGTAATAGCTTTGAATAAGCTTAACAGTCTTTAAACTGTTTTGTTATTGCCACAGTTTGTGATCAGGCAAGACCATGGTTTCGGTTCTCCTCACGAACCTCATCAGTTGCCGGGTTGGCTTTGTGCTTAGTTGCTTTTAGAAGAGCAACTTTAGTTGTACTTTGTCGTGGCGAGAACGGTACAGCCGTTCTGTCTGTTGAGCTTTGAACTGAACATAAATACCCACGTGGCGGATCGAAATTCTTGTTTTCTTATTGGCTACTGAACGTAACCAATTGCGCACTGTGTATTTCGATCCTCTTCTGCTTCAAGCTAGAGGTGTTTTTTTTTTGGAAAGCATTTCGTGAAAATTTAGGCACTTTCTTTCGTGGAAGAGTTCGAAGACTCTTGTAAATAGATGCGCACAGAGTTTCCGTACACTCCCTCTAAAAACTGGAGTGGATACGTTTCTTGTTAGTTGCGCAATGTTGAACTTTCTACTCTGTGCTTGGTTCTTATTAGTGCCAGTGTTGATCTTCATAAGGTAAAACGGGGCCTACCCGTAAACAAATCATAGCAATAAAAGGGGGTGGTAGGCCTACACGACTTTTACCTCATGCCAAAATGCTGCTTATTCCAATGAAGTTGTTTTTATCTGCTGGGTAGATTATGCTCTGGAAGGTTCTGCATTTTACTGAGCAAATGTGGTTTTAGCCGCATGTTTCACACTGAGAGGTCATGACATATATATCGATTGACTGTAGTTATTGTTTTCTGGTCGGCAGGATTTGCCCTGTGATGCAAGCGCATATTCTTTGACCTCTTTTGAAGCGGAAAGCTTTTTTTATTACGGCTGAATAAGGGTTCCAATTTTCTCCAAAGTGCCTTCTGGATCTGATCTAAGCGATTTTCTTTAGTCCGTGAGTGTAATGTTTTTCTGCAATGCTGTATCACGCTGGGCCCAGCTCGTCAGTTTTCTTTGCAGAATGTTAAATTATCACGGATAGTGACTTACAGATCCAAAATTATAAGAGTGAAATGCAGCTTAAACTGAAGCTACATAAACTTACTATGGAGAATTGAATTGTGACTCAGTAAACTCCAGCTTAGTGTTTTTCTAAAGATAGTGTGAGGCTTTTGACTGGAGCGCGTAGTTCCTCCCTTGGTAATAGCTTTGAATAAGCTTAACAGTCTTTAAACTGTTTTGTTATTGCCACAGTTTGTGATCAGGCAAGACCATGGTTTCGGTTCTCCTCACGAACCTCATCAGTTGCCGGGTTGGCTTTGTGCTTAGTTGCTTTTAGAAGAGCAACTTTAGTTGTACTTTGTCGTGGCGAGAACGGTACAGCCGTTCTGTCTGTTGAGCTTTGAACTGAACATAAATACCCACGTGGCGGATCGAAATTCTTGTTTTCTTATTGGCTACTGAACGTAACCAATTGCGCACTGTGTATTTCGATCCTCTTCTGCTTCAAGCTAGAGGTGTGTTTTTGGAAAGCATTTCGTGAAAATTTAGGCACTTTCTTTCGTGGAAGAGTTCGAAGACTCTTGTAAATAGATGCGCACAGAGTTTCCGTACACTCCCTCTAAAAACTGGAGTGGATACGTTTCTTGTTAGTTGCGCAATGTTGAACTTTCTACTCTGTGCTTGGTTCTTATTAGTGCCAGTGTTGATCTTCATAAGGTAAAACAGGGCCTACCCGTAAACAAATCATAGCAATAAAAAGGGGTGGTAGGCCTACACGACTTTTACCTCATGCCAAAATGCTGCTTATTCCAATGAAGTTGTTTTTATCTGCTGGGTAGATTATGCTCTGGAAGGTTCTGCATTTTACTGAGCAAATGTGGTTTTAGCCGCATGTTTCACACTGAGAGGTCATGACATATATATCGATTGACTGTAGTTATTGTTTTCTGGTCGGCAGGATTTGCCCTGTGATGCAAGCGCATATTCTTTGACCTCTTTTGAAGCGGAGCTTTTTTTTTTTTATTACGGCTGAATAAGGGTTCCAATTTTCTCCAAAGTGCCTTCTGGATCTGATCTAAGCGATTTTCTTTAGTCCGTGAGTGTAATGTTTTTCTGCAATGCTGTATCACGCTGGGCCCAGCTCGTCAGTTTTCTTTGCAGAATGTTAAATTATCACGGATAGTGACTTACAGATCCAAAATTATAAGAGTGAAATGCAGCTTAAACTGAAGCTACATAAACTTACTATGGAGAATTGAATTGTGACTCAGTAAACTCCAGCTTAGTGTTTTTCTAAAGATAGTGTGAGGCTTTTGACTGGAGCGCGTAGTTCCTCCCTTGGTAATAGCTTTGAATAAGCTTAACAGTCTTTAAACTGTTTTGTTATTGCCACAGTTTGTGATCAGGCAAGACCATGGTTTCGGTTCTCCTCACGAACCTCATCAGTTGCCGGGTTGGCTTTTGTGCTTAGTTGCTTTTAGAAGAGCAACTTTAGTTGTACTTTGTCGTGGCGAGAACGGTACAGCCGTTCTGTCTGTTGAGCTTTGAACTGAACATAAATACCCACGTGGCGGATCGAAATTCTTGTTTTCTTATTGGCTACTGAACGTAACCAATTGCGGACTGTGTATTTCGATCCTCTTCTGCTTCAAGCTAGAGGTGTGTTTTTTTTGGAAAGCATTTCGTGAAAATTTAGGCACTTTCTTTCGTGGAAGAGTTCGAAGACTCTTGTAAATAGATGCGCACAGAGTTTCCGTACACTCCCTCTAAAAACTGGAGTGGATACGTTTCTTGTTAGTTGCGCAATGTTGAACTTTCTACTCTGTGCTTGGTTCTTATTAGTGCCAGTGTTGATCTTCATAAGGTAAAACGGGGCCTACCCGTAAACAAATCATAGCAATAAAAGGGGTGGTAGGCCTACACGACTTTTACCTCATGCCAAAATGCTGCTTATTCCAATGAAGTTGTTTTTATCTGCTGGGTAGATTATGCTCTGGAAGGTTCTGCATTTTACTGAGCAAATGTGGTTTTAGCCGCATGTTTCACACTGAGAGGTCATGACATATATATCGATTGACTGTAGTTATTGTTTTCTGGTCGGCAGGATTTGCCCTGTGATGCAAGCGCATATTCTTTGACCTCTTTTGAAGCGGAAAGCTTTTTTTATTACGGCTGAATAAGGGTTCCAATTTTCTCCAAAGTGCCTTCTGGATCTGATCTAAGCGATTTTCTTTAGTCCGTGAGTGTAATGTTTTTCTGCAATGCTGTATCACGCTGGGCCCAGCTCGTCAGTTTTCTTTGCAGAATGTTAAATTATCACGGATAGTGACTTACAGATCCAAAATTATAAGAGTGAAATGCAGCTTAAACTGAAGCTACATAAACTTACTATGGAGAATTGAATTGTGACTCAGTAAACTCCAGCTTAGTGTTTTTCTAAAGATAGTGTGAGGCTTTTGACTGGAGCGCGTAGTTCCTCCCTTGGTAATAGCTTTGAATAAGCTTAACAGTCTTTAAACTGTTTTGTTATTGCCACAGTTTGTGATCAGGCAAGACCATGGTTTCGGTTCTCCTCACGAACCTCATCAGTTGCCGGGTTGTTAGCCTACCACCCCCTTTTATTGCCAGAGAGGTGCTCCATCCATTATCAGGATATTTGACAGAGTTGGGATCTGTGAGACAGAAAGAAACAGTATTTTATTTTGAACTCACACATACTCATTTTCAAAAACCGATACGCAAACATTTAGCTAAATTACAGGTAAAACAATCTGACAGTTATTACCTTGTGACGGGCGCTCGTCGCTCGCACCCGACGATGCACCGCTTCGTTGTTGTTTCCTCTTCGTATAGAGCTGATTTGGATCAGGGTCAACAATATTTTTATCTTTTCCACGCGTGATGTACTCTTCCACTCTGAGAAATGAATAAAAACGCTTTAGCATGGCGAATATTTGCTACTGAAAAGATCAAAGTGACGCGCATGGAAACAAAGCTGAAAAAAGCGATTTCTCACCTCTTAACAAGTTCTGCTTTCGTTTTAAGGCCTTTCGCTGGATCACCTCTACACTTTAACCAAAACTTTAACTCGTCATTTTTCAGTTCGGATGGTTTTCGGCCACATAGAGAAGCGCCAGGAATATCATTTTCTTCAAGAAGCGAAGCACTCAACGAAGTTGTTGACAACGCGGCCATGTTTGATTTTCTAGTGGCCTTTCTGGCCTCGCTCTGGTGCTATAGTTACCATTTCTCCCGAGCGGTCCGCCATTATGAAAGTCGTGTATGGTTATCCGAATTAGAGGGCAGGGGCACCCAACGACAATTTTCGGAAAAATATCTGTTCGGAAGACGATTTGAGATCTAGAATTTTCGGAACATTTGTTGTAAAATTTCTTGCTTGCATGCCTCTCCTAGGATTTTCGAACGTCTAAAAAACGGTAAAAATGCCCATTTTCAGCGGATTTTTACCCTAAAAAGGTCGCCTAGAATTTTCGGGAGCCTTTTTTCTGGCTGAAATTTTCGAACAGGTAAGTTTTGATCCCTACAATTTTCGGATCACTAGACTTTCAGCTAGGAAATCCGAACAGATGAAAAATTTATAGGGGATAAAAATATGCCCAAATCCATCGTTTAAATAACAAAACACGTTTAACAATGCTATGTTTAAGCGGTTTTGAACTATATTCTCGTTTGGTGCCCCTGAGAGGGGGACGCAGATAGTGTATTTTTGAGCGATGGCGTATTATGTGGTTTTAAGTTAACAGGCGTTGACACCACGCTTAAAGAAGTAGACATGCAGAATTATAAATCGGCCACTAACTCTGCTGTGAGGGACACAGCAGAGGAAACGATTCGCGATGAGATCAGACAGGGAAACTATGTTATCTCGGCAACTAAACCGAAAGTCGTAAGCGCCTTAGGAGCTATTCAAAAGAGTCCCCCAGGTTCCCAAGCCGAATTCGATCTTTCACCAGTTGACACAGGCTGGGCACATGATGGTAAGCGCGGCTATCATGAAATTATAGTCTGTTTAAACAAGAACGAGAAGTCCGAAGACTACAGCAAAGCTGATTTAAAACAACGTGTATTGTTTTTTATAACAATATTTCGGCTGGCCATACCAGCCTTCTTCAGGTTTACAGATGTTACTGAACCTATGTAGCAATCACAATATTATATAGATGGAGAATGTCGCAATAAAAGGGAGAGGCGGAAATGACGTACAGCATAAAAACTGGAAAGGATAAATACTAAGGATATGGATTACAATAATTCGTCACGGCGGTTTTTGTAATCCATATCCTTAGTATTTATCCTTTCCAGTTTTTATGCTGTACGTCATTTCTGCCTCTCCCTTTTACTGCGACATTCTCCATCTATATAATATTGTGATTGCTACATAAGTTCAGTAACATCTGTAAACCTGAAGAAGGCTGGTATGGCCAGCCGAAATATTGTTATAAAAAAACAATACACGTTGTTTTAAATCAGCTTTGCTGTAGTCTTCGGACTTCTCGTTCTTGTTTCTTTATATTTTGGCTGATTTGATCTCTTTTCTAGAGATCCAACGTTTACAACTAGCAGGATCTTCGTTCACGGTTTTTGCATTTAATTTAATAGTCCATTTAGATGATTTTCTTGTTATCGGAAGCACTTACCGCGTTGCAACGAAAAAAATGACGCACTTTTCGTGCTACTTCAGGATTTGGGTTTCTCAATAAGCTGGCGGAAGCTCGTTCCACCAACGCAATGTCTCACGTTCTGGCAGGCAAATTAAATTGGGCTAAATTGGGCTTGCCGGGTGGTGTACGGCGGGCGCACATAATTCAATGGCAAGTACGGCCAAATACTGGGCGCTTTCCATTTAGTCAAAATTTCCGGAATTTCCGGTTCGGCGGTAAATGGAACACGTTTCGTCGGTTCGTCCCACTGGAAAATTCCCAGAAAATGTGGAAAATCTAAAAAGGTTGTCCCGTACGTTTCTCGTAGTTTGCACCAGTTCCAGGTCCACGGTCGGGCACCGCCACGTACCGGGGTTTACGACCAAATGGAACAACTTGTTACCAATCGGAAATTCAACTTTTGCTACCACCTAAATTTCCGGGTTTTTTTCCTAAATGGAAAGCGCCCACTGCCTCAATCCTTTTACCGTGACCTACCGAGAATGATCAATTCAAGCATTTGTCAAAGGTCGTGACTAGAATGGATACTCCAAAATCAGGTATCCGCTCGGAGACTGGAACTGAATAAAATTATTTTAAAAGATAAATATACAAAGACTGAAGAAGGCTGAGATGAGAATGGTTACTCCAAAATATGGATCAAAGCCTACATAGAGGTTAGTTGTTTTTCACGTTCTTTGTAAGAATTTAGTGCAAGGAGCAATGTCTGTTTAATTACAGTACCACTACCGCGATTGTCGTGTAAAGCTTATTCATAGCAAAGTATCTGTTTGGATAGCTCAGAATAAGATGGATACTTCAGAATAAGAATGGCCAAAATATGGAAGTTTTGGCCATCTGGATTATTATTACTGAACTTCCCAATACAAACATGATTGTTACGTTTACAAAGAGGGTACAAATACAGTTAAGGTCAGTTAATTTTATGGGTTAGTTGATTCCAAGTGTTAACAATAGTAAAAAACACCCAAGGGACCTGTCATTTATTAGAGACGGGGGAGGGCTGGCGCAATTGGGGGGAAGGTCATTAAATTTTATGTAGCCAAAAAGGGGAGGGTCACCAAAAATTTAAGCTGGGCTTTGGGGAGGGCCATACCATTTTTAGCAAACTGATTGCTGTTCACTTAAAATAAAAATAAATCAACAAATAAAATATATTATTTAACAAACAAGTCCCTTGCACAGTAAGCATTTTAAACTTTCATAATGATCAACCTGAACTACCCAACAACCCTACATATACGTCTTTTTCTTGATTTGTTTTTCAACAGCAACACACTGCGAAACATGTCTTTGCATTGATCAAGTTTCTCATTAAGATATTTCAATTCACTGTTTACTCTTTTTTAGCTTCATCAAGCCTTGTAATAACAGCTTCATCAAACGATTTAGAATACTCTTCTCCTCGTATAAAATTACCAGTCTTTGAGTGAAACAGGGTGTTAAGGTGAGCTTTAATGCGTCTATCCATATCTAATATGTTCTCTAGTAACTCACTGAGCTTCATAATGTTCGCCCTCAGTATTAACTAATCAGCTGGGACAAGAACATAATCGGTTGTGTAAAATTTTCCAGCAGCACCAGGATTGTTCGTGCTCAATATTGCTTCAATGCATGAGGTGATCTTAGATACCTGTTCCTGAATGTCGTATTGGGGCCTCCCTTCATCACAAGGTAAAAGTTGATCTCTTTTAATAATACCTGTCATATCTTTTGGCGTGGGGAGGGTCATAACTATTTTGGGCCATACAAGGGGGAGGGTTACATTTTTTTCTGCAGGAAATTGGGGGAGGGCATAAAAAAAATTCACCTGGGAAAAAAGAATTGCACCAGCCCTGCCCCCACCCTCTAATAAATGACAGGTCCCTAATTTACTTCAGGTCATACTTCTTGTAGCTTGGTGATCACTATTACAAGCTCAAGTTTCTAAAAAAAAAAAATGGTCCTGCAGATTGTATTAGTGTAGTGTCTCTGTATAGCTCTGATATAGGACCTGGAGCCTACAGTGGCAGATCGGAACCTTCAGATAAGAAGAGGGCTGGGGCCGGGGGGTTTGGGGAGGATTCTCACCAGACCTTAAGGTGGCGGGAAGGAACCACTCATTCAGACCTTAAGGTACGGAGGAGCTCAATCTAGAAAAGAATTTTCTTGGCACTGTTGTCCTCAATTTGAACTGGAAATATGGAGGGCCAGGGACCTCCCTAGATCTACTGCTGGCCTCTGCCAGCCCGCCCATATTCACCTGCTATCTTTTTACATTTACTAGGAACTCTAGTATCAATCCAAATTATTTATCCTAAATATTCGGATTTTTGCAAATTATTTATAGTTGCTTTTTTGCACTTGTATTTTGTTTCGTTTTTTTTTCAAATCCTAGGAGCCTCATTGTCACCAAAACTCTCTGCCTTCCATACCCCTATTAAACACTGAACTTTCTGACAACAGTCCTCAGCCAAGTGGTACCATCATGGTGTTAAAAACTGTGGAAATAGGTCCTGTTGATCCTGGGATGAATTCTTTTTCTTTTTCTTCCCCATTTCTCCGCTAAAGGGGGGAGGGGGGGGAAGGTGTTTTCCTTCCCCTCCCTGTGACCTATTACCTATTTCCTTGATTGTCTTCTGAGCTCCTGATGAGACAAGACCTTCAGCATTAAGCTGGTTATGGGCTATTTTTTGTTTTTCACTCAGTATGGTGAGCTTATCATAAATTTAAAATGGAATAAAAATGATCATGCAGGTATATCCATGTTGCAGCTGTAACAGGAGGAGGAGTTGGAGGTCCAGAGGGTGTTGCAGTCAAATGCTTGTGAGGAACAGAGAAACCAGTTGGAGAAAGAAATGAAGAAATAAAGAAAATTGGAGAAGGCTTCAAGAGAAATAGCAAATAAAATGAAAAAAAAAAAAGAAAAAAAGAAAAAAGAAAACAGGAAAAAAAACAACACAATTTTCATTGAGGCCAAGCAGTTGGCTGCTCAGTTGCATGTCTGGGTAGCTTGACCATGTTTAATAAAATTCTCAAAACCACAAACAAACCACTCTAAGAATTTGATAAAATGTGTAAAAAACATTGTTTATTACTTTTATAAAAATAAAGTTGTTTGTTTACAATTCTACAACCATTTTTCATTTCTTCCTTTTCCCATAATTCTTTCCTCTGTTTTATTTTCCTCTTACTCTTTCTCCACTTCCACAATGTCCTTTTATGTATCCTCTATACCTGGGGTGGAAAGTCACCTGAAAATTTGAAATTAGCCATGCATTAAATAAAGCTTCCATTATAATCATTCTTTCAGGAAATAAAGCTGCTACTTTGGCGGTAATTCTAAAAAGCACTGTGTTCCACGATACAGTGCCTTGATTCAGCAAAGAAGCCTTGACCCTTTTGTTTTAAAAGTTAAAGATTTTCTTTTGGTAGCAGAGAAAGGCCCCCAGTTCAGTGCATTACAAATAATTATCACCTACAAAGTGTGGTACCTGCCTAATAACAAAATGCATAACTAAAATACTGATAAATAAATAATAATTATTGAAGTAGGGTATATCCAGGCCGTTTTAGCTTAACAAAACAAAAACACAAGGTAAGTCATTCTCATTTCTATTTTTGTCAAAAAATGGAATTTAGGACGTGTTTTGTTTATTGTCATACATTCTCTTATAAATTCAAAGTCCAACAAACTCCTTCAGAGTTTGGCTTACCTGTGGATGGGGCAACATTTCATGACAGGATGGACAATAAAGGGGCTGCATTTTCAACACCTTCAATGTGACTTGAAATTACAAAGGTTCACACAGCAGATTCAGGAAGACAAAATGACTAACTTGGAATCACATAGTTTACATTTGCCAAAAGTAGCTAACATTGGGCCTTCTGGTCATAGAAAAGACTATAAAAGGATTTGGGTTCTGGTTGGTTTATTGTGCCAGATTCCCAGTGCACCAAAAGGTTGACCCGAGTATCCCACAGGTTGTGAGGGTCACTTTGGTTTTTATAATCTCATAAAGTACCCATTCTTCTCACACTAAACTAAACAGCAACTTACCACTTAAAAGTGAAAAAAAAATCAACCATAATATATAAGAAAACAGAAATAGTTTATGTTGAGCCATAAATTCAACAACTGTCTGCTATCCCTGGGGGTACTCCCTTATATGGCCTACATGGGGATGTGCCGCTGGACAGGGTATGGTTTTCCTCCTCTCTGTCCTGAACCGGGTATATAGTTTGGCACAAGTCTGTCCTAAACAGGGTATACAATTTCCTGCAAGTCTGCCCTAAACAGTGTGCATGATTTGTGCAAGTCTGTTCTAATTATAAACAGGGTGTTTCATGCATTATCGATTTCGTCTTAGTGCAAATGTTTGCAGATATTTAGTACGTCATCACCCAAAGCATGTTATTGTTCTTGGCACCCTGGTCTAAATAAGATAAGTACAAGTTGACAGGTGTGCTTGATAACCTTGTCCCCATCTGAGAGAGTTGTCTTATCTGGGTACTAAAGTTGAGGGTGTTATCCTAGACAGGGTATGGGTTTCAAACCCTCAGCGGCTCACCTACACCCAAACATTGGTCGAGTTCCAGTCTCCGAGCAGATACCTGATTTTGGAGTATCCATTCTAGTCACGACCTTTTTATATTGGGAAGTTCAGTAATAATAATCCAGATGGCCACAACTTCCATATTTTCGCCATTCTTATTCTGAAGTATCCACCTTATTCTGAGCTATCCAAAACAGATACTTTGCTATGAATAAGCTTTACACGGCAGTCGCGGTAGTGGTACTGTAATTAAACAGACATTGTTTGTTCCTTGCACTAAATTCTTACAAAGAACGTGAAAAACAACTAACCTCTATGTAGGCTTTGATCCATATTTTGGAGTAACCATTCTCATCTCAGCTTTCTTCAGGTATACTTATCTCAAGAGTCGGAGCAATTCGCCGAAAAATAATTTTATTCAGTTCCAGTCTCCGAGCGGATACATTTGTCAAATGTATCAGAAATGATCGTATTGAACGGCCATGCGCCTCAATTGTACACGTAATGGTGGATGTCGTGATTCAGCATTAATAGCGGGGCTCCCGCGCGCGCGAAGCGCGCGTGGGACAGAGCCCCATACTCATGGAATATGGTCAACCTCTTTTCGTTTGGTTGTCACGTGATTGACCGAGCGTACGTACGTACGTACGTACGTACGTACATACGTACGCGTCTACAGATTGTACGGGTGGGGTAGGGGAGACTATCAAAAGGAAGGGAGGGGTGTCTCAGGCGTGTCTTGGCAAGTCCACATTTTTAATATTGGATTTTAGGACATTCACGATATGGTCAATTGACAGCTGTCAAAACAGGATAGCCACTGACCAGTATCCCATGACCATATCGCGGGCTCATGTGTCAACTCATCGAGGTGACTTGATTTATTTGGAAGCTGTCCGCTGACCAGTTAATTGTTTTACTAGATCGCGAACAATGTTCAATCTCATACTTTTACTAGTTAAACTGATAATGCACACATATTGGAGATCAATGTTTTGATCAATTGACAGCTGTCAAAACAGGGTATCCGCTGACCGGTATCACTTGACCGTATCGCGGGCTCAGGTGTCGACCCATCGAGGTCAAGTATTTTTTTGAAGTTATCCGCTGACAAGTTACTAGTTTTCAAGTGATCGCAGGCTCAAGTTCAAGTTTTTTCTAAATTCGTATGAAATATGTTGTGTTTATGTGCTACAAAATTATAATTTTGATTGCAAACTGACCTCGGACGCGAAATTCAGCCAGCTGTAGGTACAGGCAGGGAAGACAGTTGCTTTTGACTTTTCTCACCATGGTCACGCGTTGGTCACGCTCTACGTCCAATTTTTATGCTCTGATTGGTCAAAATTTGACAGGTGAGTCCATGCGGAAAATTTATGCAGCATCTTGAATCTTGTTTACTTTGACAGCTGAAGCTGACAGAGTTTTGTGTCAACTTGTGATGTTTTTAACTGTCTTTTTCCACTGGATGTGCAAAATGAAATTCAGCTGCTATCAGGAGTCCTCTGTTATTCATGGCTAGTTTGTTTATTGGGTTTTTGGTTGAGGAATACGTCGCTTGTCAAAGTCGGAAATCCGATTTCGGATGGCATCGTTTTCGTTTTCACCTTGCTTGATGCGTAAGAGGATTGCAAAGTCTGAAGCGATACTGGCTTTTCTTGATACCTTTCAGGAGCTGCATCTCGAATGGTAAGCCAGAGAAATTATTGCTTTTGATGTTTGTGTTTTTGGATCTAATTTAGTGACGTCGAGCGGAGTTTATGCGGTCATTTAGTTTATGCACGTTTGTAAGATTTGAGACAATGATCTGACCGAGTATCAGGTTTGATATAAGCTTACAGAACTTTAAAAAGCCTTTAGACAGTTTCTTACCGCAAATAGAAAGAAAACGTTCCAAAGAACATTTAGATATAATTCTGGCCGGAAAAGAAAGCTTTGAGTGATTTTCTTGCCTCGAGTTCGTCTTTGAAAAAAGCAAACACCGGGAAGCCGGCTTAAAACATAAACTTAAGCTTGAAGCTTGAAGACTCAGGATTTTTAGGGATACTTTATTACTTGTCTTCCTGAATGAAAATTGTTGTTTCTGTATATGTTTCACCGAATTATAGTCTCTCTTGTAATTTTAATCGCTGTGCCGATTGTTTTCAGTCGTTCAGTGAACATCGCTTGCAGGAGTACTCAAAATGCCGCGCGTTAATAAACCATTAAATAAAAAATAAACTGAATAAATTCTTTATAATTTTGGAGCGTAACTCTGTTAATGTTCATTCAAACACTCGCCACAGCTTGCACTACAAAAGTGAGAACCGGATGGCCGTATAGGTGATTTTGGAAATTTTTTTAACAGTTTATGAATATTGAATGAGTGCAATTTGTATCGTGAAATACTGCTTTCTGTCCGAGGTCTGCCGGTATGATAAAAACAGTGCCTCATACTACTGTTTTACCTCAGATGTGATGTATACATGGTATAAAAGGTTGGTTTACACGCACCCAGATTTGTCGACAAGATTTTGCAAAGTAAACTTGTCGAACGCAAAAAAGTTGGCCTGATTTTTTTTCCCACTAATTAATCTACGGTGATCAGAGAACCATTATGGTTGTTAAATGTGATCGAGGATGATTACCAGTTTTTGGGTGTACATATGAGGCTATCAACTCGATGTAAGGTTTGGTTCACTCTTGGGTTGTTTGCAAATTATTTTTCTCTAAAATCAGGTAGCCTTTCCCTCAAAAGTCACATAAATGTGCTCTAAAGTTAACTGAATTGTGGAATTCGAATACAAGTTTATTGTTTAATTTAAATTATAAATTTATTAATGGGAGCCTCGCTTTTAGGCCTGGCTAAATCTATATATTACGAAACTGATTTGTGAATTGCAATATGGCGCAAAGAGACGGTGGAAGTTCAAAGAGAGTCGGAAAAAAATAAGATCGATCAAGGGTCCTCGCTGAAGCAGCGGAGTTTCTCGCTGCTTGTGAACAAAAGCGAAAGAAGCCAAAGAATAGGACTGGCTCTGTTTTTTGGAAAAACCCGTCAACCGGTTTGAGAACTACTCACTCAACGTATCGCCCTAGAAAAGGCCATAGAGCTTCGTCAGTTTAATATTCCTAAAGCAGGTGAATAATACTTGAAATTCTTAAACATTTTACTATTATATTATGCACTTATCAATTGAAACCCCGACCCCCCCCACCCCGGGCCAAGGTGGGGATTTGACTTGACATCATTACAAATCTTAGCAAACTCCCACCCTACTGGGGCATATTGACTGGTAAAACCCCCATCCAGGTGGGGAAACCTTTTTAATTCCCTGACTGACTTTATTAATATTTCGTTCGAATTTTCAACTTCTTAATATTGACAAATTTACTACAGCAAAAAGGCAAATATGATAACAGACCAAGATATAAATACAACAAATATTTGACAATAAGTAAACATAATGACCCCTACCCACTTATAAAAAAGTCAGGGTACAAAATGGATGATGGAGTAGCACATTGCTATAAAGTTATATTAAAAGGAAATCCGTACCATCTCCATTGAAAGTAATATCTGCAATGATAATTTTAATTGAAAATAGCAGCCAACATACCTTAACCTTCACAAGCTGATGTTATAAATAGACTGCATAAAATAGTTCCTAATAGGAGCTATATTTTTTATTTTGGCTTAAAGAATGAGGAAATATAGAACTTCAGAAACCACATGGGTTTAACACTAGACGTTAAACGAGCTGTGTCATGAAATTTACCAAAATGTAGGCTGTGGGAACTGCCACCAAATTGAGTGAAACATAAAAATAGCCGCTTAAGACATTAAAAGATGGTATAAATGACTCAGCAAATACAAAAGAAGGTACAGATGGGAAAACATGAAGAAGATTAAAACGGATTGAAATTTTGGTTTTTGAAAACTTGTTAACCTAACAGTTTTTCAAAGTTCATTGTTTTTGTCCGTAACGCTTGATATGCTTGGGAGAAACATCTGTTTAAAACGAAGCTTTGATTTCTTCATTTCTTTGCCAACGTAACGCTCAAAAGCGAATAGGGACCACGTAACTGGCAATATTAACAAAATGAACCAGATAGCCGTGACACAGCACCTTTTATAATAAGTAGAGGAGTTTGTATCTGCATTGTTTGAGAAGTTTTGAATAACAATAACAATTTCCAGTCAACGAACCATGAAAGCTCAAGGCAAAATCGCAAAGGATTAGTCTCAGTGAAGAAATGAAAGGAAAAACAATTAGGAAACTTACGGCCGAGCAATACATCAAAATACCAGTGATCACGTGAAGAAATTACCGTGAGGAAACTAGGCACGAGTCAAATCCCCACCTCGCTCCCCGACTTCCATGGACTTCCATGAATATGCTAAGCAAATCCTGAGAAATCCCCCACCCCCACGGGCTAACCATGCCTTCAAATACCATAAAAATCCCCCACATTGCCCCACATAGGCCCGGGGTGGGGGGGGTCGGGGTTTCAATTGATAAGTGCATTAGGTGGGCTAATTTAGATGGTTTGTATCAGCTTTTTAATATAAAAACAGTGGAGCCAACATTCCAGGAGATGAAACGGATCATGCCTCTCAAGGTAGTTAATACATATTATAGTCAATCAGTTTTCTTTTTTCCGTTTCGTTCTATGGCCAAGGTGTTAAAAGATAAACGCAATATGTCCTGTTAAGTACGAAGAGTCCTTTTTTTCAGTCTGTGTTTGATGATCTTTGTGAACTAGGTTTCTTTGGTGGAAAGATGGGACTATTAATTGTTCATTAGCCCTGGAACAAATTTTAAGAGTTTTTCTATAGCGTGCTTGCTGATATACATAGTAAAAGCTGGACATACTTAACCAACAGGCTGTCATTGTGCTTTGACATTGCTGAGAAAATGGATTAATTGCATTGTTGTGTTTCCGAAGTTACCCATTTACACATAATTATTAGTTTTTTTCCCAGCAATTATGCTTTGTATGTTGCTGGTTCTTTAAGCAGGCAATGTAAAGCCAATCCTAACTGGGTAAGAGTGGCTTGATTTGCCTGCACACAATTTTTTTCCCCACAAGGAAAAAGTCCCCTTCATTCGTGAAGTCAAGGTGGCTGGATATTGTTTTCTGTCATGGCCCCTACAGATGCCAAAAAAAATAATTTGGTTACATAACCTTCCATCTTTCCCTCCTCCTTTGTCAACAGAATGCATATATGTTTCTAAAATGGAAGTTAGGAGTAATACAGTCAACTCTCTCTTAACAGACACCTCTATAAGATGGACACCCTTTTTAGAATGGACACCTAAAGTGTGTGCCTGCCTTTCTTTACTCCCTTTATTTACTCTCCATAAGACGGACATCTCTGTAAGACAGACACTTGGTGGTCCCAAAGGTGTTGGTCATAGAGGTAGTTGTCCAGGCATATTGTTCTGCTCAGCCTTAATTTTGTACCCAAATCTCCTGTTCACCAAGCTGAAGGCAAGATCTGCTCAAATCCAATTTGTACACGTGATCGCCTGAAATCCTCCATTTTAGATGTTTTTAACAACAAATTTGATAAAGCTGTGAAGTTTTCTCTAACAAAACATGTTTATAGCCTTTTTTTATGATTCAACCAACTAATGTTATTATGTTATGTATGGAAAACTGTTGGTCCATTTCATTAGGTTATTCTTTTTAAAAAAAGAAATGTTTATTTAATTTAATTCATGTTTTGTTGCTTTTTCTAGACGTAAGTCAAATTTTGAGTGAATGCACTGCCTTATTCACTCAATCTCTTCCATCAACACAGTGGAATGAGAGGATATCAAATGTAGGTCAATCTTGGGTAAGAGTGCGCCCCCAAGTCATGAGGGCAGTTCTGGAGAAGCCGTGTGTGTATGGTGTGTATGGATGAGGCCCAAGGCCTTGTTAAGTGTATTCATTGTGGAATGAAGATCCTGTGCACACAATGTGATGATGAGGAGCATAGGAAAAATCTTCTTCATGATAGAGAAATATTCCATGATGGCTTTTTTAAACCGGTGCCACCCAATGTTTTACTGGGCAGCAATGGTGACTTAATTACAGTGGGTACGTGTTGTTTTCTCATTTTTTTAACAACAGTTGAACCTGCTGAGTCATAAGCGATCACCCAAAATGTGAAGAGTTAGTGACTGCTTGCAGATGCCACATGGAATCGCTTACTGGGTCAAACACACAGAATTATTTTGTCAAGGGCCAATATCATAAGTTATTTCTGAGTTCTTGATTTTTATGGCTCATGGATGTGATTAGTTCTTTTTGGTGTCCTTTTACTTACTCTTTTGTTTATTTGCAGCAAGGCATTTTGCAAGCAATATGCTATTTTTTTGCCCCAGCTGTACATGTACAGGTGAACCCATGTTAACGTGTGAAAATTGCATAGTGGTGACTTCCGTGGGTTAGTTTATTAAATTTGTTATGTTTTGTTGTAAGTTGTTTAGGTTTTAGCCACAAGGGTGTCCTGCCATCCTGACCCATGCATGGGTGCCCATTTTTGGAAGAAATACAAGAAAAATGTACTTAATCTCAGAAAATTTTATAGGAAAACATGCCCTCTGGATGGCCAGTATTCAATGTCGGGCTAAAAACCTGGTTTTTGTTGCTGTGATTCCAAAAAGTACAAGTAAAAACCATTTTCCCCAGCTTATCATCTTTTTTAAAATTTCTTTTATATGATAAATGAAGACTTTTTTCCTTTTGGTCTTTTTTATCTACAGGGAGATATGATGTAAATTTCTGCATCTTTCACTGTAAGGATTGCAAAAATGTCTTCTCACCTCTGGATTCCTCCAATCTAATTCAGGCAGGCTATTGGCCAGGCTCAATTTCCAATACTAAATATGTTTTTCTCAAGACCTGTTTTTTTAGTGGAATCTATTACAGAAAAGACTTCCAGGATCATCTGAAAGTGGTTTTTTAAGATCTCTGGAGTATTTCTCTGTTATTAGAGGAAGGGTAAGCTCATTTTACAATGCTTACTGAATAAGCAATGGATAAATTTGCAACCTTGAACTTTCTCTGCCTTAAGTTTCTGTTCTTTTGTTTAATGGCCTCTACAGCAGAAGTGATTCCCGTACAAAACAGTTTCGAAGTAACTTACAACTCCGCACATAATACTTCCTTTGTATTACCTTTGGCAGTAGCTAATTACGCTTGATAAAGATGTACCAATGGTTCATTCATATATTTTTGGTTAATATGTACTCAGCCTCCATGTGTATGTATGTACATGTTCATGTAGATGTTTTATTCATAATTTCAGGTTGGTGTGATAAATGACACTGCATTTAGCGTTGCCTTCAAAGAGTGGAAGTTCTGTCGCCATGAGTTAGACGTCCTGCAATCCAAGGATTTCATGGAGTGCCCAACTTGTGCCGTCTTCCAGCATTCAGCTCATGTTGATGGGAATGCTAAGCTTTATCGATACAAATCAGCTGGGAGGTAACTGTTATTGAAGAGGAGTCCATCTGTTAATAATATTTTTATTGCTGCTGATTTCAGACACAAAGTCATGTATTCATAGGTTGCAAAAAATTAATGTGGGACGAACTTCAGATGGTGGGTGCTCTTTGGAGCCATCTCCAAGAAATTCAAGAGCTTTCCCGGGTGTGGCATAAGGGAAAATTGAATTTCCCCTGGCATGTTTGCAGTGGTATAAAACCACTACATCATAATCGCAGCCCTCATGCAAACAATCAGCCTATAATGCAAAGTTTATAACTTTATTATTAAAATATCAAATAATTCCAATAATAAACAAAAAATAGAAACCTAAGTGATAGCCGAAAATACCAATGATTGATAAAAGCAAACATACATACATACAAACATACTTGTATTCTGGGTAGACTGTATTTCGTAAAGCGCTCAATTCATTTAATTGAAGAGCACACATGCATGCATACATGGCCTTTATTAAAGTGTCTAATTGTTCTAGTGCCTCTTGGCACTAACTGGGGACACAACAATAATTTTATTTTGTTCTTGCCACAAGTATATTTTGGCTTACTTCACAGAGGGTTTTTGTTTAGAAAACAACACCTATGTACATAATATGGGTGCTTCTCGTGTGTCACAGACGTTTCTCCTAGGGAAACATCCCCAGTGACAATTCGAGCTAGGAGAAATGGCTGTATTCGCAGGCCTCTTATTTTCTAAAATCTATAAAACATTTTGTAACCTTGGCTAAAGAAGATAACTAAGCATTCAGGATCCTCTTTGAAAAAATAGGTGTCTTATAACTGAAATATTATTGCAATGTAAGGGTACATAGATTTTGTATAAGGAATAAGTTTAAATACCACCACATACTCTCAGCTAAAATGTATTTTCTTTCCCTTCAGAAAATGAGAACCTCTTTAACAACCTACAATGTAAGTGCTGATTACCGTTTATGTAAGGACCTTTTTTGGCTAACTTAATTGGGAAAATACAGGTTATTAATTGCTGGTTTTTAGTGTATCTGTACAATGTAAATACCTACTCTGTATTCAAGTTTCTCCCTCTCGTGTGTGGGGGAAATCACTCCTCGCTTCTTCACCCTCTCCCAGTCCTTCTTTTTCTTTTCAAACGTATAATCACATTCCCTGTTCCTGCACTTCTTCACAGCTACAGGGCAATCTTCATTACAAGCTGGGCAGCGCGCAAAAAAAAAAAAAAATATTGGAATATGATGAAATGAAAAAGAAGAAAAATAGCAAGTGCAATAACAACAAAAAGAATTACAGAAATTACACATATTACTTGCAAACCTCGTTCAATTGATTTATTGATATTTAATGCCTTTTTACACATAAATGAAAGGAAAAAACATTACATTACATGAAAAATACACGAAACTAAAAATAATCTCAAGAAGCCATGAACACTTATAGGTGAGACTTCCTCTTTACATTAGTTTTTATTAATGATTTATATACTTTTATAAATAAAGAACAGCATATAATATTATTTAAAGTAGTTTACAAGTGTATAGAAAATATAAAGAAAAAGTTAATCGTCAGTCTGATAACTAGTAATAAATTACAGACCATATATTGAGTATTCTATAAACTTATTAAATTTGATTAAGTAAACGTTTACAGTGATTTTACTTGACCTGTGAAAGAGATAGTAACTAAACTAGTAAACAATAGCAACAGAAAAACAAAAGAAGACAACGGAATTAGTGCATACGAGTGCTCAGTATTGTACTACCTATTTCAGGAGTCAAGTAAAATAACTCTAAAGGTTCTTATGTTGTTTGATCTAATTATTGAGTGAGGCAAAGAGTTCTAAAATTTCGGTCCCTGGTATAAGATTGTAAATTTTTTTATGTTTGTTCTGCAGGTATGAGGACGATATGACTTGGCATATCCAGTAGAATAATCCTTGACTTTCAGTTTGAAAGAAAATTTGAAAAGAGAGAGGTACCCAAGTTTTTGAAAAATGTTTTTTTTGTTTTTTGTTTGTTTGTTTATTTATCTATTTATTTATTTATTTGGGTTTACTGGGAGTCCTGTAATCTGCAGCACAGATTGTTTGAACAATTCTTTTCTGTAACAAGTAGATTCTAGTGATAATGTTTGTAGGATATGTAGAACTCTATACTATGTTGCAATATGTGAGATATGGATACACTAAAAAAAAAACCAAAACAAACAAAAGAAGCGATTTTTTAGTTACATAGGACCTTGCGACAACATTCTTCTTGTTTTTGAAATTTTTGTACCGACAAATCTCGCTATTGACAAAAGAGTTAACAACATGCACTAAGAAAAAAAAAATAAACAAAAAAAGACCAAAAAGAGAGGTCAAGAATAGAGGATGGCCACCACTTTCAATAAGGCCATCCCCCTTTTTTTTTTCATTTAGCGTCGAATGCGTTTTCTGATATTGGGTTCGTCGGTCGGATTAAAAAAAAAAAAAAATTTCACAAGAAGTCTTGGAGGCCCTGGTACCCCAGGGTGATGTTAAAGGTTAACATTCACATATTTGGATTGACAAAATGCACAATATACTGTAAAAAATGCCCCTGTTTTTGTTCCTGTTTTTCTCTATGCTGTTACTATGTTCATTTTTCAGACCAAAAGAATTATTTGAAATGAAAAATGGTGTAACTACGTCGACTCGTTACTTTTTTTTTTTTTGGAAAATGCCAAAAATTTGGGTCGGTCGGACGATGCTAAACGGAGAAAAAAAGGGTGGCCTAAGCGTAATGATAAAAAACATTAATGAATAACAAATAATATCAATACAGTTTGAATATCAGGTAAATGACTGACTCCTATATATTGTGACTACCATATTTTGCTATTGTTGTGGCAGGCTAACCCAATAGGTAGAGCACCTGACTACAAAGAAGGTTGCAGACCAGATTGCCATGGCTGGAAAAGTATTTGGGGTCTCACAATAACTGAGAAATGAAGGTACTGCCTTTGCCCTGCAAGTGGCTAGACCTTCATGTGGTTTGTATGACCACTACAAGGAAAAATGGTGGTCCTGTCTCTAGTAGAAACAAAAATGCTGTCCTTAATAAACACTTTCCTGTTTAATACATTGACAAGCAAATAAAGTGCCTTTATCGTGCCACCATAGTGGTTAGTAAAATGGCAATCCACTGTAAAACCTTTGGTGACCTGTATGTGGCCAACTCGGGAAAAGCTACCTACATGATGAAAGCTCAGTATGACAGCAAGTTAGTAGCTGTTATCTTGAATAAGTAAAATCCTGAAGTGGCATCTTGAAAAGGTTACATTGCTCCAAGGACAGCTGCAGCAGATCAACAAAAATGCAAGGTAATTTAGAGTAACGTGATAAAAGAAGTTTTTAAAAAGCATTAAAGCCACAGCACTACGAATATCCGTAGACGTAATTTGAATTTTTGTACATATACTAGAAAAAAAGACTACTTTATTTATTGATAAGGCGAACTATGCATCAACATCAGTGTCGAATAAAAATTAGTAATCAAACAGATAGAAAAGAATTGCAATAATCACTATCATTGCTCAAATGCCGAAGGAAAAAAACTATGCTAATAGTATGCTGATTGAAATTTGAATGCGGCCTCTTTTGGAGTTGTCAGCCTTTGAGTTACGGATAATTGATTATCTTTTGTCTCTCTCCATGTCCACATTCTAATGATCATAAACAACCTTTAAACCGAGAAACAGTTAAAGCAAATGTCAATGGATGGCCACCCCAACTTAGTATGTAGCGTACATTAGTTACTACCCCTGGATCTCCAAAAGTGAGTCTAGCTGCAGTGCACGGTGTGTCATAGGTGTGGCCATGCAATGCTTTAATAGTCCAGTTTCGAATTAAAAATTACCGCTGAATACAAACATTAACGACACATTCATACAGGGTTAGCCTCGACTTGAAGTGATATATTCTGAAATTCTGGCAATTAAGTGTTTGAAATTTGAATATACACAATAGACAGAGTAAAAAACAGGTCTTTTTCTCGTTGGAATTTGTGAATATATTACTTCAGATGGAGGCTAAGGCTGTAAAAAATGCGTCTTCACTTCTTTAACTCAGCGGTCATAGCGAACTCGAAAATGGACTATTATGATGTGACAGGGTCACTAGACCTAGAATTTCACTACTTTTCGTTACATTAAGAAATATATTACTTTTCTATTATTTTACTCCTAATATTTTTGCGCTTAGGAATTTCCGGGTTTGATTTAGCAAGCTTGTGTATCGCTTAGGAATGATAGTACGTGTGCCCACAAACCCACATCTTATTGCCTAAATGCCTTAGCGGATATTAGCTTTTCGTGGTTTTTCTTTTCGGTAGATTATTTTGATCATTTAATTGACCTTATCTTTTTAAGTTAGTAGGATTAACCTAAGGAAATCCTGGCGTTCTGTTTTAGTGTGGTTTGGCAACACACCTTTTACTGTTTGCCGCGTGCAAAATTATTTAACACTTTGGTATAAGTAGAGGCACGTTTTAGCCATAATTCAGTTGAGTTTGGACGTTACTGAAGAAACTACAGCAGCTGTAAAGTTAACAAGCGAACTTGCTTCTAGCAAGGTACGATAGGTTGGTTTGTTTATCATTTAGCTTAAGTACTTGACCTCGTTAATTACCGAATAATTCAGTCTTAGTTTAGTCTTTTTTTAGTTATAATTCTGTTTAGTGATTTAAGTAACTTTTTTGTTATTCGTTATAATTTCGCTATTTCAATCGCAATTAGTAGGAACTAGGCCAGTTTGTTCTGTTATTCATCGAATTTCTCGTTTTGTTTTTGCTGTTGTTATTCGCTTTATTTTTGTAATCGGAGACGCATATTCTTCGTAGCGTCGCTAAATATTCTCTTCGTTTCGTTTGCGTATTATTACACACCTTCTGTAGTAAATTCATTTTGTTTATTGCAAATCTCTCTTTTTGTTTACAACTGTTAATTGGCTAGTTTTGTTCTTCTATTATATATCCTAGTCTTTTGAATTAGTTTGTCTTTGTTTCATTACACATAGGTCGTGTTGTTATTAGGTCAGAATTATCTGTTCGCAAATTAGTTCTTTTCCGTTCCACTTAATTACTTTTGTTTCGTTCTAACCTTGCATCTTGAATGTAGAATCCCGTTGTTTGTCATGTTGTAGCCGTTGGATACCATTTCACTGTAGAATTTGCCATTACATTCACTAGTTATTTTAACGCTCACGCGTGTCGCTTGTGCAACTCGCGTCAAGTATTCTGTCACGGGTTCTCAAATTTAATTTGCATGACACTATACGTCACTTCCGTTCTATTTTTGTCTTCAAAATATAGCTTTTCTGTTTTGTATTTGTATATTTTTCTGGTGTTAGTTTTAACATATTTGGTAGTTGTTTACACTTGCAACTGCAGATCATTGTGTTCTATTTGCAACAGAATATCTTCGTTTTCTTTTTACGAATTCTACAATAACTTAGCTTACAGTTTAGAATATGTTATTCCTGGTTTTTGATATTCTTCTGTAGTCCTTCGTCAATTGCATCGTATTCTGCATTATTTTGTTGCACGCAAATATTTAGTTTACTTTGTATTCTGTTCCTAGGTTTAATCTTTCAGTAGTTCCCGTTTATTTTGTTTTGTTTTATTTTATTGTTGCTGTATTGCTGATGGATTTGAGTTTCAAATAAATTGCTTTGGAAAAATCCTTGAATCCTTCTCGTTCCTGCCGCTGACTGCCCCGTCCTGTTACAATGAGATAAGGATACGAGCGAAGCAAGGGTTTGCTTCCAGTATTATCGAACGATTATTAAGCTTACCTTGCGAGTTTTGGATGAAGAAACAGATTTCTCTGGAAAGCAACCAGATAGAAAGTTACTTCTGAGTGACTTGTTAATTTTGACCGGTAACGGCTCGATTGCAGTGTCGCAAGAGTTGGCGGAGTTTTCCCCTCGGCTACCAAAACGACCTACTTTAAGCATCGTTTGCGTTTTCAGCTATAAACCATGACCCACTGTACAATATTTTGATATAATTGAACAATTTTGAATGAACCATCAATAGAAAATTATAATACTACTAGTAATGGTTGACACTACAGCGTCCCCCGCCCTGTATATAGTATTCTTGCTCCTTGTGTAGCTCTTTGAAATATACCGATTCATAATGAAGATGTTCACACATATTCCATACAATAGGTGAGATAAATACAGGAAATAAACGCAAGGTTCCATGCACAGTTTCGGTCCGATTTACACAGCTTTGATCAAAACATTCTCAGTTTCGAAAATAGTTTATTCTAAACCATAAGATAAGATTTAATTAGGAGTTTAATTTTTCGCTATTTCTTTTTCACTTTTTACGTTTAGTTCATTTCATTTGCCGGAAAGTAAGCCTCTTCCGATTACAACAAAAATTTTGCGGCTCTTGCACTCCCAACTGGACCACTCTGTAAGCCTCGATTCTTCGTTTTGGGCCATTTGTCTAGTCGCTTTTTACGGCATGTTTCGAAAATCGCACCTTTTGCCTACCATCTCATCTTCGTTTAACCCAAAGAAGCAACTCACCAAAAGCGATTTCAAGATATACTTGGGGCGCTCTTGTTACCATATAAGGTGGAGCAAGACCATCCAGTTCCGGGAACGAGTCGTTGACATACCCCTCCCACGAATCCCTGGCTCCCGACTTTGCCCTACTTCGGCTCTTTACCGAGCTTTCAGTTTCACTGCCCCTGTTTCGTCGGGGGACTAGCAGGCTTTCAATTGGGTAGATCAATCGTTTTACACCCATACGTTTACCTATAATAGCTTTGTCGAAAAATTGCGCCACCACCTATCTACATTGGGCCTTGACCCCAAAAACTACGCGGGCCACTCCTTCCGCAGTGGGGGTGCATCTTTTGCCTATTTATCGGGGGTTCCCATTGAAATGATTAAGGCCTTGGGCGATTGGCGTTCCGATACGGTCCTATTTTACCTCACCATGCCCCTGTCAGTTCGCTTGCATTCTGCTAATATGCTGTGCAAAACCATCCTTTATCACTCTCCCACACCTTCTTGATGTTCTCTCACTTTCAACTCCGACTTCTTTGGGTTTGGGCCTTGGTTTTCAACCAGGTTATAATTAGTTAGTATGACCATTTTATGTAAATAAGTATTATAATTCTACAATAAACTGCCTGAACCCAACCGTGTTGCAAGTCTGTTCAGTGGGGTTTAGAAGAAATGGAGAGGGAATATCTCCCGACCCCTCCCCCTCCTCTCCCTACCCCAACTCCCCTGGCAGTTTTTTCCTGCTCACTTTTCTTTGTGAACAGAGGCCCTTCGATCCCCTTCCCATTATCGTCAAAGCCACTTTGTCCTGAGAGCTCGTGAGTCTGGGGACTATAGTTGTAAAACAACGGGCAGCAAAAATGACTTACGTGGAGTAGAACCACCATATTTACTGCCTCTACTTCCCCTAAGTTCAAATATTATTAGAGTTATGGTCAGGAATGTTACGGTCTGGGAAAGTTATATCACACATCTATCACATGATAGATTCCGTGCAGCATATCACTTCCGTCTTGATACATGATCTTTGAAATGCAAGTGAAAACAATCTCAAAAAATCAATATCACGATTTTTAGTGCAGTTTACAGTTGACCAACATATAAAAACATCAAAGGGATCATGATCAAACTGAATGTTGAAGGATGCCCATATAAACATTGAAAGGCCAAAACCGTAACAGCACTCTCCATAGAGTTTATAGACTTTATACTGTGTATAAGCGATCAGATTAGCGATTAGCCTGCGAGATGAGGCTCATGCTACTTGTGTGAATTAGGGGAAAATTTTGGCGGCCGCCATTCATGAACCCACTGGATGGCGGATCCGCCACAAACATTTCGCCCGAATTCGCACAAGTCAGCCCGCCAGCAGGCAAATCAGCGATGGGCAAGCTTAAATTTGAAAACTCGATCTTGTGAGTGCTTTG